ACAGTACGTTTTACACAGTTTATTTATGATGTTAAATGTTCTGCTTATCCTACAAAGCATTAAAAGGTAACTTAACCCATTCAACTTTGGTCAAATCTTTAATAAAACGAAAACTACATGGGAGCTAGATTTATAATGTAATAGGCAACTCAATGGATCAGATATAGTTTGTAATGTGATATGATGTGTGCTCTTTTCGGAACGCAGTAAATGCTATTATAAGTAAATCGTGACGTCATCACTGCAACTCCCAATTTTATTTGCCTATCCCCCACAGTATGGTAATTTTTCACTTAGTGTACACTTTGCTTGATCTTTTTTTCGGTTCGTGTTTAAAAGTTGAAAACAACTTTTACAGTATGTATCATGCACCGCGATGAAAATTGAATTTTAATTGGAAATTGCTTTCGTAAAACAAGGTTGATTAGAACCCACAGAAAGTTACTTCAAATTCAGTATTAAGTATGAACAATTAAGGAATTTCTTAACCTAATACCCTAAAAATAAACAAACTTAATAGGAATATTCTAGACCTATTTTAAAGACACAAGGAACAAAATTTAAATCTAGGCCTACGGCTAGGCAGGAGGCCGCCAAGGCCTAGCCTAGCTGTAGCCTAGGCTAGTTAAGAAATCATCACTTTAAGAAATGTTTATTTCTTTGACGATTGTCTATCAAAATTGCATTACAAACAAGTTCTTCAAACACAATAGTTATTTACTGCTGATGTGTAATATCGCTAGCTCTGTGAGTTAACATGTACTGCAGGAGCACAAATCAGCATACGCACAGCTAAATGTAAATACGCACACAGTATACTAACCATATCACCATAGCAACCGATAACTGCATGCTACATAACAGTCGACTGTCAACTAACATTAAAAGACATTATATTATAAAGCAATTAGTATAGCTGCATACATCATATTTTTCTAATGGGTCCACAAAGGATGGGGTCCACATTTTGAAAAATGGGTCCAAATTATGCAATTTCATACATAAAATGAGTCCAGATTTCTCATATTTAGCCTAAAATGGGTAAAATGTCCCAAAAATTGGTCCAGATTTTTCATATTTTTGTGTAAAATGGGTAAACCTTTAAGAAAATGTGTCCACATTATTTGAATTTACGCGTAAGTTGGGTCCACCCTGATATTAGACTAAGTGACACTTTATAGGAGAATTTTTTTTATTTATTCGGCTATTCATATAGCACCTTTCTTTGCAGATGTGAAGAGCTTCTGTCCCCACTCATTGGGTCTACATGCTTATTGCTGTTGTAATAAGTGCAGGAGCAGGCAACCCCACCAGGTACCCATTTATGCTCCTGGGTGCAGTGAAGCAATGCAGATAAAGTGTCTTGCTCAAGGACACTAGCGCAATGCACAGCAAGCGATTGAAACCCTGACCTCATGGTTTGGAAACCAAACCATTCTCGCTGCGCAAAACCACTTGATTGAGATATCCTCCGAAGATTGTCTTTTTACTTTTGATTAATTTTGTCAAATTGACTTTTTCATTGTATTGCGTGCATTGTTATCTATGTTTCCAAATAAGGATGATCGATTGATTGAGTATACAATTGTTGTGAAGCCGGAGAGCAGGGTTTACTTACCTAACAGTACAACACACAATTGTCCACTTCACATTAAGAAAATTTGATGAATATTTAAAAAATATTGAAAGGAAAGAAAGTGAATATGGTTAGACAACAAAGTGTTGCCGGTGTCCTTGTTTAGAAGTACTCAAATATTTTTGCATTTTCTGGAGCAACCTCATAAGTTTATATTGATTACACTGTTGATTTGCAAGTTAAGAAAAAACTCAACACGCCCTGAAGTTATCATCGACCTTATGAACACGTCTGAACTTGTCAGAGGCTAGTGTATTCTACATTTGTCTCCTTTACCACCGGATCACTGCAGCCTACAATTGAGAGTGAATATATGGTACTATAGACATGAATATTTATTATTTATTTAATATTTAGATGCAAGGCCCATTATATGCCATTACCAAACTTAAGTGGAAATCCTTTTACTTTTAGGGAGTTTATTGAAAAAAAATCTGGTAAACATTGACAGGAATTGTACCCATACCTTGAGATTGCAGGGACAGATAACAGTAAAAAATCTGGGTTGGGCCATGCACTGTATGAAGTACCAAGCCCCCTTGGTGGTGAGAGGATGATGTGGTATAGTTAATTGTCAAATAAAATCAATACAAACTACACAAATTACAACTTTTTCAGAGTTATCATGCAGCCCTTTCATTATTTCCTTTTCACTTCCCCTCTTCTTCCATTTCTATCCTTCTATCTCTCTGGACTTTTTTTGAGGTGGGGGGGGAGGGGGTAATGTAGCCCCATTTCCCCTCTTGGATTCTTCTCTGGATTGTGCAGCAAGCAACCTAGCCACTAAGGTTTAAGACTATGTAATGTTTTGGAATTGATGAAGAAATCTTTTTGATATTCTTTTTACTCTCTTTGTTAGCTGAATCCTGGACACTTTTTTGTAAATAGTTTCAGTTGGCTCCTAATGTGAATATATTATGCTATTATGCCCTTTTGTTATCTGTATATGTTCTTTGTAATCCTAATGTTTTTCACAATGGAATACATTAACAAATTGAAATATATTTTTTAATATTTATTATTGCTCACCATAATGCTCTTGCCCACACTATCAAATTTTCTTTGACCAAAAACTGTTGTATGCCCATATATGGTCATGATGTACCTATATATGGTCATGATTTGATGTCATCATGAACCCATTTAGGTATTCAATAGTCTGGACAGGACATAAGATGTAAAACAATAAAATGGTTCACAAACTTCAAAACTACCTGAAAATAATACTTCTACATTTCTACTTCAGTATTAACTTAGAAGATCCAAAAATTCATCATTTACAACACTTTCCAAAATTACCTTTCGTAAACATAGTAAAATGCTAATATATAAATTACCAATAAAACAACTTGAAATAAATGAACATAAAACATTTACAATACACACTCGATCACAGTGACTGAATATAAAGCAAATTTGCCATTAAACATATATTATATCGGCCAGTCATTTAATATCCACCCAATATTGAATTCTTCTGTGATTGAAGATATTTACGTCAACAAATTTTTTTAATGGTATTAACCCATCAAAACATACTGATCTGGTAATATATTTAATTTACTGTTATGTGAATACATCTAAGGTTTATATACAGGTATATGATATTTGCGATTATATTTCATCTTGCTCTAATTTATGGGCAGTTCTGTATTGTGAGATTATTATTTCAATCATGTTTTAAGAAAAATCCTTAAAGAATTCAGTTACTTAATTATCAAAGTGAGTGGAAATTATTTAAAATAATGCATAGTGATGTATTTAAATTTTTGTTAAAAGTCACGTAGTAGGGTTTTTTTCCCCTTTTTTTACATCTTTTTTGACGAGAAATTAAACCAAACCGGTTCGTAAAATATATTAAGAAAATAGTAGCCACTGAATTTATTTGAAGTTTTCCAATCCATTATCTTTTGAATTTAAGATTCATGAATTTATGTGAAAAAATTGAAACATTAAGACCACTAAATAAGGCGACAGTCCTAGTTAAACCTGTATGATTATCTGAAAAGTAAAAAAAAAAACACCATGTTGGAATGTTTTTGATTAATGTTTGTTTTTTTCTGAATTATCCCAGGCTCTGGAGGAAAACATTTTTTTGATATGTTGTAGAACTGATTTTTTTATGACAGAAAAAAGTAGTTTGATCAAAAACTGAGCAACAGTGAATGAGATACAGATTTTTGAATATTCCCCCAGTTGTATAACTGGGCGAAAAAGGTGTAAAAATGGACGGTTACGCCCCTCTTTCCCTCTTTCAAAAATCTGTATCTCGTTCACCGTTCCCCAGTTCGTCAAACAAATTTTTTCTGTCTTAGAAAAATCCGTTCCACAACATATAAAAAAATTTTTTTCCTCCGGAGTCTGACTTTAAAATGGCCACTTTTGAAGCTTGAAATTTATATAAATTTAAAGTCGGTTACTCACTGCGTGCGGCGGCAACGCGACAAGAACACATGTGAATACGCGGACCCAACTGATCGTCTTTTTAATGAGGATGCAGGGGCGGATCCAGAGATGTCCAAAAGGGGGGCCCGAAATTTGGGCCGATCGAGACAACAATGCCTCAGGGGGTCCGGGGGGCATGCCCCCGCGAAATTTTTGTGTTCTAGACGCCCGAAAATAGCATTTGAGGCGTTGTGGCCTATCATTTTTTTCTTTTTCTTTCTTTTTTCCCCTTTTTTTTACCTCCCAAAAGTGGGGGGGTGGCCCGGCCAAATCCGTCCCTGGGATGCATTCAGATTGCCACTGACACTCAGCAGACGGCGTTGCATCGTCTATCGCTCGCCGGAAGCAAATGTGGATTCGTCGTAGTGAGTGTCCGGTTTAATATGTTGATCATGGCTAATACTTGTGATTGCCATTTTACCAAAACAAATTTTTTGGGATGTGTTTTAACACAAAAGACTTCTTTGGCATCATTATCATGTGACATTATCACCATCATGACCATGATCATCATCATCATCACTATCAACATATTATCATCTATTGTTTTGTTAGGATAGAAATGAGTTTCACAAGTTTAGGGTATTGCTGGTTATGATCAATTTAATTTCTAACATCGTTAACACAAACGCACAAGAATGCATCTTGGCACCAAAATTACATACATTAAACAATACATGTCACAACCAGTCTCGATCATTAACTAGACACTGTCAAATCCTACATTATAAATTAATTCCATTGCCTCTTCCATTGAGGTTGACGTCTATTTCATTCAAAATTCTTTAAATTGATAGGCTGTTTAAGGTGATTTTTAAGCTGGTAACGTCCATACCGAACTAACTGTAAGAACAAATCATTATTGAACCCATCATTTTATCTATTGACATTTTTTTTACCTTTTTCATTTGTTCATTAGGGACTTGATTTACGTCTGGAACATTCCCATGGTTTTGGTCACCATGGCGTGGGCGGTCATTACCATTATGATGTTACACCTGATGAGGTCGTTTACGAAGCTTACTATCAGGTAGCTGAGACTATCTATCGAGTTGATGCACCAACGGAAACACATAATGTCGGGCGAGATTGAAAAGGGAGGAGAAAATTACTCTTATGTTTATCTTGTAACCCAGTTTATCGCCCAGGTTGCATTAAAACCACTTTGAAAATTTGCATTCTTTAATTCTATTTTAGGCGAAATAATTATATTTTTTCTACCCTCTTTTAATCCGTTTTTTCGGCACATTTGTTTCTTTTTTAGGCAAAACATTGTGGAATCATGCAGAAATTTTTATAATTTTGTACCCAAAGTCCTGGAAATATTTTCAATGAATTAATCACGTACCTGTTTAGTTTGAGCAGAACAAAATATAGCAAACAGCCTGCATTAGTTCCAATTTAAAAACCAGGTTAACAGCGCAACTTGATTGAATCGGTGTTATGCGTAATGGAAAGTTTTATGTGCATTCTGTGTGTCCAAAAGTTTTGAACTTTGAAAACCATGCTATGGTCATGCAATTGAGCATGCACTAATACTTGGCTCATAGTACTTAGGCAGGATTTTCATAAAACGCATTGCATTTGTCAATCCAAGTGCAAAAGGTGGTACAACCTTTCTTGGTCTAAACTAATTTAATGCAAACGGCTTGCCGATTTTTGTTGATTATTTTGCAGTGTTGATGCCCTCAATACATGTTCCGCACGTGAAACAAAATTCTGCCGTAGTGTAATTTTTCTTGAGTGTAATGGGACACAACTCATATTGAAGTGAATGCAATAAAAGGTCTACGCAAATAAGTGTACTAAGTTAATGACACCACTATTCAGGTTAGAACAAACCAATCTAATATGTCTTTAAATGAAAAGCTAAAAATATATTGTGTAAAAGGTACCTGAATGTACTGTATCTATGACATTTTTAATATGCTTTTAAGTTGTTCTTGTCATTCTTGATTGTAAATAAAATATTGTGCATGTGTAGATATCTTTTGCAGTACATGTTACCATGTTCAGGATGTTTATATTCTATAAACGAATGAATGGATGAAGTGGGCTCACCAATATAACGACATGAAATGAGTAGCCTGTCACATTAAACTTGACGAATTAATGTCGCTTAAGGCAATGCGTATCATTGAGCACAATAATCTCATCAGGTATTTAACATAATCGTTGTGATATAGAAATTCATTGATTATTGAATTACGACATACTGACTGTTTTGAGCTATATGACTATACAGTACACACAATAATAATGCAAAACGTTATTGCTATGTGATATTTAAGTAAGTTATGTTACAAGGTTACAAGTATTTTTGCCATGTTTGCTTTTCTGACTGACTTCGAAAGTCAAACAAGGAAATATTTTCCTCAACAAGCAAAGCAAATTTGTGTGATGTGCCCATATATGGGCTTGATGATGTCAAAATTATACCCAAATATGGGCATATCAGTTATTTGTCATAAAATTTGATACTGTGCACACACCTTAATAGAAAAATAAGAATTGGTTTTACACAAAATAATTATAAAGGTGGAATCACCAGAAATAATACCAGATACTGTAAGTTTAAGATAACTAAGTATAAAGTATATACTCCAAATAAGGACAGACGAACCATTGTGATTCAATATTTTTATTTAAATTAATACTGTTCCTATAACTTATTCAGTCCTTTAAATCTGCAATTCAATGGTATAATTGAATTTTTGAGGGTTTTTTTTTTTTTCATTTTTTCAGTACAGTATATCCTTAAGGCAATCTGTACAATTGAACACATCATCAGGTGTATTGATCGTTGGGATTATACTAGTAGAAGTGGTGATTGATTAAGTTCTATCTGATTTGATTAAAAAGACATGGGGCGATTCACGTGTAGTATCCAGTTTTTTTTTTTCTTAGCCAATGGCAAAACACTTGATTATAAGTGTCTCTCATAGCCATTGGCTATGAGAGACACTTTCAACTAATGGCAAGATAAGGTTGTGACTGTGATACAAAGAGCTTGGGAGTTCAAACAAGGTTTTTAGCATCGTCATAAAATATACCACACAAGAATCGTTAATTCTTTATTCAAAGTCACTGCTGAAAGATTGATTATGTAATTCATTAGTTAACTGACTGATAATGCTGTAATGTAATTGGCAGGGATTATGTGTTTAGATCCACCTACACCAACAATGCAATGCAGTAAATAAGTTCATCTGCTCAGTTGTGGGATAGTAGACTGTTTGATTAATATTGATTGACTGATTTATTGATACATTTATTGATACAGTGAGAGAGAGAGAGGAGTGAATGAGTTAGTGGAGGGAGGGTGCAGGAGGAATTTGATCACCCCTCTGTTGGATAGGCCTGGACCCCACTGTCATCTGACGCCACAATGCCTATTCATAACATAGTGATCTAAAAGTACAATATGGACCATACAAATCATAAAAACCCATGAACCCGATCAGGGATTTTATTCTGGGACCCCGACCCCCTTGGTTCGGACCACCACTGTTGGAAATGTCAGACCAGCGTCGGCAAATTTCTGGAGCCACTGCTGTGAGGGTGAGGTGTGTTAAAAACGTGGTTGAGTGAGATTATCTTTTTTCGCATCCAACTGCAAGCAACTTGCCAATTCCACGATGGAACAATACTTAGTGAGTGGAGGTATTTCTTAGTAATTAGTCCGGCCAAAAAAAAAGGGAATTGAACTCGGTCCTAGAATGAGAAGACAAGCACTAACCACGAAGATAAAACTCACTTCATATTAAGTAGGTGTATTGAGATTGGAATAAATAACAATGGTTTTCTGTCGCCATCAATTCCCAATTTTTTAAATATACTCTGTATGTACTTTTGAGTTTATCGCGATACCACATACCATTTATTTCATGCAATTTCACAAATATTAACATTACAATAATTATCAATGTAGAGTACTAAAACAAGTAAATTGTACTATATATTTCTACACCCTCTTTTAGTTTAAACTGCCGTACCGTATGTCCTTGTGAGTTTAGGGAAAATAGAGATCCAAACATCTGTAAATTTCTTCAACATCCGTCTTTCTATATTCTAATATATTTAATAACTTTGCTTACGGTGTGATGTGACATTTGCTTAACTGAAATATGCGTAGAGACTTTGTTCATACTTATTTTGACTGTCAGATCCATCAGTGTTGCTAATAGTAATAATAAATGTAGTATTGCAGTCATCATCATCTTGCAACTTTAGCTAGCAGCCTGCTTCTACTGAACACGTTTCCTCCAATTTATGAGCTAAATCATCGTTCTGATAACATTGATCGATTCAGTCCTTGTGATGTAAACGCAATACTTCAGATCAATTACCCATCAACGACATTTTAGACCAGTAAAGCGTTTTTAATTTACCAATCCATTTATAAATAGTTTTTATCCAAACAAAATGACTGATTTATATGATGCCCTAAAGCCTATCTTTGTTTTTTTTCTATCAATTACATATGCCATACTGGAGAAGACCTTTGTGCTATACCTGTGTTCTGATGTACTATATGTCACACATGGTGTGTGACAGTTTTTGTTTGTTCTTTTTAATGTAGAGAATCAGTTTATCATGTAAATGTACAGATCCATTATAGGGATATATTTCAAATAGTCATATTTTATTTTTGTATCAATTTATTAGAATAATAATCATCATCATCATCACTATCAGTTATTATTTTTATTATAGTTATTGTTATGATATTATTATTATTATTATTATTATTATTGTTGCTGATACTTTTGCTATTGATTTTTTATTACTGTTATAATGAAATACCATTATTGATTTTATTAATATTATTATTATTATTATTATTATTATTATTATTATTGTAGTATTATTTTTGTAATTATTATTGCTATTATTTCATTTATGACAAATGTAATAAAGATCCATATGTGTATTCCAATATATTGACTTGTAAAAATGCAATGTAATCATATTCGAAGTGTGTTTAAATTTTGCAATCATGTACACTTTCTTTACATAACATTGCAATAGTTTAAGAAGTAGTTCAACGTTGATATAAATTACACAGCAGTATATCAATCATTTCACATAGATCTTTCCAATAAAGATAAATGTACAGATGTATGATAGAGATATATTTCAAGTAGTCACCTATTTTTTTATAAATTAAATTAGTATAATTATCATCATTATCAGGTCTTATTTTTATTATTGTTATTGTTATAATTTTATTGTTATTGTTGTTGCTGATACTTTTGCAATTGCATTTCTATTGCTGCTGTTATCATATTATCATGGTTTTATCGTTATTATTATTATTATTATTATTATTAATATTATTATATTTTATAAATCATCAATAACATTTCATTGCCAAACAGCGTAAGTTTGCATTAATCTACTAATATCAAATGTACTATTGCATTTATGCAATATATAATGCATAAACGTGTAACTTCATCATCCCTACCAACGTTCACATCAACCGAGGATTTGAAACATGCCATTAATTCTCCTGTTGCCGGCAGGCCAAGATAAAGTTCTTAAGATATTTATTATTATTGTATTACTTTCATCATCATTATAATTATTTTTTGTAATTATTATTGCTATGAATTGTAATCTTATATATGCAAAGTCTGTTTGAATTTTGCGATCATGTACACTTTCTTTAACATAACGTTGCAGTATTTTAAGAATTAGTTCAGAGTTGCTTTTCACATAGATCTTTTAGAGTTATGATTGAATAATAAATTAAATAAATGATGGTAAAGCCCCGGTTGGCGCATTCCCTTTGATAAAAATGTTAACAGAATACCGTAATAATATTTCCTGTCATTTAGTGATTGAAAAAGACTAGTCAATCGTTACCGATGGGACTTAGTTTTATTGATAGTAAGCCTTCATATTTTTCTAATTTCAGAAAATGGGTCATAAATACCGTTAGGTTTATCTATCATCCCATTAATTTATTCAACAATTTCCTCTTTTCATCAATTCATTGTTTTACAAACCAATTTGTCCAATCCATCCATTAATTCACTCCTCTATCAATCTATCTATCAACCATCCATCCAAATTCCACTCACTCATTTATACATTTATTTATTCATTCATTCAATCAATCGTTTATGCATTCATCTATTCATTTATACACTCGCTCACTCACTCATCAACACCCACCATTACCCGTCCAATTATTAAATCCATTCTCCCATCTATCGGCCCATATGCCTATAACTCGCATACTCAAGCTATCGGCTATAATGGATTGTCTTGTAATACTCTTTATAGTTTACCACGCACGAAGAGGGTATTGCAGTGACATACAGCAGGGAGGTATACATTTTTATACATCCTTGCTTGCAGTAAGATATTAAATCACACGGACGAACATTTTAAATTTTACGAAAATCACATTTATCTAACCAAAATATAGTCTTAGAGACAAGGTAAATTGACCTTAATGGTGCAGTAGAATTTTTTAAAGCTCTTTTATAGAAAAATAAAACAGAAAAACTATTATAAAACCTATAGTATAAACTTTTTGAAAATACATAAATTACTTTCAAAAGTTGTCATTATTCAGTTTGATTCTTGAAGGGGAACCGGGTCATTTCAACGCCGCTCCCCACTCTCCTCTGCCACCAACTGTGCTTAGTTCAACCATTCTACTGTCATCTCGGACACAATCCATCGATCACCAATCTTAACAAATTGCTAATTCCTTTCTACTTTGCTATTCTTTAAGCTTAAAACCCCAGGAATAATTTCATTCTTTTTTCAACTGGTTTTAGTCAACCCTTTATTAAAGCGTTCTAGATAATGTACTCCCTTTATTGACTTTATACGAATAGCTTTTTTTATTCTGAATATATTTCACCTCGTCTCTGTACTACTTCACTACACCTGATGAAGTCAGCATAGACTGCTGGCGAAAGCTTAATAATAATAATAATATTTATTTGGAAATCGCTTTCAAAACAGCGGCACACATCACAGTGAGCATGTGTATTTATTAATAATAGAGGTTAGACTATTAAGTGCTACTAGTGTTTATATTTTAAACGTGAGACTAATTGTCTCTGCTTAGACTGGTAACACCTGATAAAGTTGTCAAATTACGTTCACTTTCGGAGCATAAAACTTCAACTGGTTGCTATAATATTTTAACTAAAGTGACCATCGCATCCTATATCAACATGCCGTTTCCAGCTTTTCAAATCTGCCTAGTAAAATTTAAGGCATATAGGCTTATCCAAAAAGGAGTGTAAAATATGTAGGACAATGCAGATTTGAATTCTTTCTGTATTATGAAAATAATAGCATTTTGAAATGTTATTCGTTATTGATTCAGTAAAACAATATAGCACAAATTTGTCTTTAATTAATCTTGTTAGTAATCTTCAAACAAAGACATCAATTCGCACCTTTTCGTGGAAACAGCGCATCATTGGACGGAAATTAGTGAAATTTATATGGCAACATGAAAGGCAATTATTTATTCTAAATGATAATGACACAGAGAATGTGTAGCAATTTTGATGTCAAAAGAAGCGACTCTTAATTGACTTAAAGTCAATAAGCAGATGGACCATCAAAGCAATAATTGCATAGGTCTACTTTAAAAAGACAGCAAGAGTTAGAACTGTAGGTCTGTACATACGCCACGCTACATAGTTTGATGCCAAAGTTAGTTTATGAGATAATTAAAGCTGTAATGGGAAGACATAATAGGTTAGGAAAACAAATTGAACAGTGGAACTTATGTTGTGAGCCTTTTATTAACGAAATCCCGAAAATGGATGTATCAAACTGGACAGTTGTTGGAGAGGTTGAACTAGGAACCAGAGGCTACAGCCAAGATGACTTAACCA